GGTGTTGAAGGTTAAGTGGTTGGATTATATTTCAATGTATAGGAAAGAAGAGGGGGCAAGGTGGAAAAAGGTTCATGTGCTCTTGCTTTTTATTTTTTTCTCTTTTCTCTATATAATTGTTCATGATTAGGGGGTGGTTTAAGAGAATAAAGTTGTCTCTTCTACTTTTCCCCTTTCTGTAATTTTATACTCATTTGATGCTACTAGAACAAAGAAAGACTGATTCTTTAGATATTGTTCTCTATGTGTAATATTTTGGTGGGAGAATTGTCCCCCAATATATTTTGCCAAACACAGAGTCTATTTCCTACTCTGTATCATTTAACTTTAACTGATTTCTTAGCTAGCATTTTTGTTTTAATCCTGTTAAAAAAATTGAAAGGGGAGCTTGGCGTAACTGGTAAAGTTGTTGCCATGTGACCAAGATGTCACGGGTTCGAGTCATGAAAAATAACCTGCAGAAATGTAGGGTAAGGCTGCATACAATAGACCCTTGTGGTCCGGCCCTTCTCGACTCCGCGCATAGCAGGGCTTAGTGCACGGGCTGCTCTGTTTAAAAAAATTGGTCATGTGGGGGTTTTCTGAACATTGAAGAAATGATCTCCTACCCCCCACTAACAACTTGAATAGAAGCAATGATCCTGCAAAAATCTCTTGTATTTTAATTATAGATTTCCTGTGCTATTTTTTGTTGATCTCCTGTAGAAAAGGTCATACAACTAAACAGCATTTGTATTTGATTATATAACCAAATCTTCCCTGAAGACATGAGTAATTAACTGGTTGTAAAGCAGATATTTCAATTATCAAAATGCTAGTAGGTCATTTGTTTTTAAACTAGTTAGATCTACCTGCCAAGAATAGATTGAGATGTTCCTTATAAAAAAGAATAGATTGATATGTTTTATCTTTTGGGGTCCCTATTTATATTGGAAAATGACAATATGGAAAATTGTGGTGCAAATAGTCATGAGTTGTATTGATTGGTAGTATTATTGGCAAGTCTTTTGATTGGATCTTACTTCACAAGGTACTGTCACTATAGGGAAAGGAAGAGAAACTTGAGATCTCATTTGCCAAGTTTCTTTCTTTGTCTCACCCTGATTTTTCATCTTGGCAAAATGACCTCAGCCATTTGCACCATATTTGTTGCTTCTCTACTTATATTATTAAGTGAGTTTGTCTGTTTGCATATGAGTTTTCAATGTTCTTAATTGGAAAACTACTTAGAATGCAAAGATCTTTGTCCATGAGGGTTGTGTAGACAAGCATGATAAGCTACTATTTCTGGTGTGAGTTCAGTTATTTCTGATAATTTCAGCTAGAAACATGCCTTTTTTTGTCCATTGATCAAAGTTTTATTATCAAACTTCAGGATTTGAACATGGAAAATAGCTTCAAAGTGTGAGTTATACTGTAAAGAAATTTTTGCATGAACGGTACAATTTAACTAGTTATAGCAAGTTATTATTCTATTTCTTAGATTACCACATCACATTTAATATAGAGAGTTACTTGTTATAGGTCAACTTAACCTGGTAATGTAAACATTTTGTACCTAACATAAAAGTCTTTTCGGAATATCTCCAGTGGCAGAGTATTGCTTGAAGGGAGCTGTTAACTAATTAGAATGGCAGAGTAGTAGTTTAATTATACAAAAGTAGATCAGATGTGTTATTTTTGCTTTTGTTTTACTCTTTGTAGGAACATATAGTTAGCTACAAAAAGCAAAATGGTAGGAGGATGTTGTGTTGGACGATATAAATGAAAATGCTTTAAATTTGGTACTCCACTTGTTTCTTTATCAGCGTACTCAGCATGTTACTTTCATTACGACTTAAAGCAGCTGTCTCTCACCCAAATAAATTCAAGAATAAAAATAATTATTTCCCTCCCACTAGTAGTATTATATTTAATATTTTTGATTTTATAATGATTGTAATTTTATCTTAAAATATTAAAGGTGTAAGGTTCAATTTTCTCTAATATTCTTTCTTTCTATCTTTTTCTTTTTCTTTTTCTTTTGCGTATGATAAGCTTCTTCAACAAAATTGAAAAATATTAGAACCTAAGAAAAAACATATGATTTTTTTTTCTTTTTATAAAGTTGTGATGAAAAAAAAAATAAGCGTTAGACTTTATATCGTACCTTAATCTTCCGTTGATATTGAATTCTCCTTGCTGAAAGCAAAACCACTGTGTGATATCTTTGCATAAGTTTTGGTGGTAGAGTTACCCGATACTTATTTTGATAGAAAATAATAAGTACCCAGTGAATTAATTAAGGTGTGCTCAAACTCGCTCAAAAACCACCATCATCAAATATTGTAAAAATAGCACGGTATAACCAGTTTTCGGATTGGTTATTCAAAAATAGCCAGTGTTTATCAAGTCAATGAAAAATAGCCATTATTTTGTTGCAACAGAGACCGGTCCAATATAATATACTGGAGTTCGGTGCATCTGTGTATGAACTCCAGCATATTATACTGGACCGGTATACCTTGCGGGCTCCAGTATATTATACTGGAGACTGGAGCACTGGTGCTCCAAACTCCAGTATAATATACTGGAGACTGGAGCACCGGTGCTCCAAACTCCAGTATATTATGCTGGACTGATATACTTGTTGGAACTCCAGTATATTATACTGGAGTTCTAGTGTACTTATGCTGGAACTCCATCATATTATGCTGGAGTTCCATCATACTTATTCTGGAACTCCAGTATAATATGCTGGAGTTCAAGTATACTTATGCTGGAACTCCAGCATAATATACTGACGTATTTTCCGGGTTTTGAACAGTGTTTTAGCTCAAATTTATCTTTACATAAAAAATGGTTAAATTTCGATTACTTTTGAAAATGAGCTATTTTTTGAACGACCAGTTGTAAATGTGACTATTTTTGAATATATCACTCAAATATTCTCTAAGAAGTTTAATTAAAAAGGCCCGGCCACACTTAAATTAAGCGAAGATTGTCGAGAACATGGCCAATAGTACAGTAACCATTGATTCAACCAATTTGGAAAAAGCAATGAATGCCAAAGGTAGTTGAAGCAGGGCCACATGGACTAGGTTGTGCAATTTGCAGGATCTCTAAAATCAGCAGCACATTTATGGCAAACTTCATCAACTTGGAGCTACAGGTAGGGGCCATATGATCATAGTATTATGATATGTGAGTATGAATGGTGATGGATGAAACTAATTATGGGGG